CTTAAAGCGTTTATACTCATCTACTTGCAATGCATTTTATAATAAAAAAGATGAAGCGAAGACTCACATTAATTTCGTAAATAGTCTTTTATCAAGGACATGCGAACATGCAATGTTTACGTGTGAAACGAAAATATGCCCGGCCCGCTAACAGCTAATTAATTAAGCTAATTATCGGCGATTTATGATAAGTGTACGGAGAAAAACATTTAGGTTTGTTCTTTTTGTTTTACCATGGTAACTTTTTAAAGCATTGATTAACGTAGAGAAAAAGGCCGATGGATGCTTGGCTTATTCAATAAAAAGTGTACAAAAAACTGTCCGATTAAAATCAATCATCATTACTGGTCTGGAAATATTCTTTGGCGAACAGACGAAAGTTCTGTGTGTAGAATTGTCATATTTCTTCAAATAAGGATGTACATACACGTCACTACCGTAATCTATTGACAGTCCGAGCGCAAATCAGCTTGGTTACCAAGCAAGTGACATACCAAATTTTTGTTATCGCTGTAACATTGATAGGTACCTTATTATTATTTTTAATTATTAAACACTGTAGCACAATATATGTGGATGAAACATTTATACTAAATGATTTCACGGTCTTTTTTCCTTTTTTCGAAAATGTTTCCAAAAAATAACAAATCATAATTTAGACAAGTCTAATTGTTCGGAACTGATGCAAAATACAGAAAGTTTTGATAAAACATTTCTAATTCAATGGACGCAGTGACCAAACGGAACGCTCTGAGGTATGATGCATGCATGAAGTTTAGCTGGATAAAATAACAAAAGACACTTCTTAGTATTGGATTTTTTAAAGATGCATCCGCTTTGACATATATGTAAGAGGTTATTCGTTGTATTAAAGCATGTGGACATCGGGTAAAAGACAAACCATTAAGTCAGATTATTTAATAATTTATTTACTGGGTTTTCCGTGTTGTCGAAATATGTTATACTTATTTATTAATTAATATAAAATTTTTTTAAAAAAAACAAAACAAACAATTTAGATTTATTCATAATGGTCATAACCGAATTCTTCTTATTACTGCATAATATATTGGTGTAGTGTTAGTTTATTCTGAGAGCAGGACGATGAATCGGTCACATGAACATGTCTAATAAGATCTCAAAACTTAATAATCGTGGTTGGTTAATTATCGTAACATTAATATGTAGTTCAAGTTCTACACGACTTATTGTTCTATCATGTGTACCGATTTCTATATAAGACCCGAAATATCTTTCTAACCCAAATATTTACGCCTACAAAATAAACAACACAACATATGTCTACTCACTTTACTCCAATTAAGCCAGCACCAGCTTCTTTTGAAGCTTGCTCTCACAACAATAATCCGCCTCATCCGCCATACCATATGTTCGACCTTTCAACGATTAATTTAATCGAAAATCTTACAGTCTATGAACGTAATCTTTTACTCAGGCCGCCTTATGTAATGACAATACCTCTTGACAACCTCCTCAATCCTCGGAAAAGCCGCTCTAGAACAAACTCACCTCCTCGTCCACAAAACGCGTGGGTTATTTTTCGCAAAGATTTTGAAAACCGATTACGGACTCAATATTCCAATTTACCACATTCCGTTAATAAAATCTCAAAAATGGCCAGCAAACATTGGTCAAAATTGCCTCGAGTTGTCAAACAATATTTTGAGGTTCTTTCCAAGTTGGCTCTACTACGACATAAAGCTGCTTTTCCTGGTTATAGGTACAGGCCAAAAGGTAAACAGCAGCAGAGTGAGGTCTGGGTGTTCAAAAATATAAATAAAAGTGCATTCGTTGCCGATGGAAACAATCACAAGATTACTTACGGAAACCACGGAAATGATAATCGCTTGGATAAACCCGCTATTATTGGACAGCAACAAAATCTGTGTCTGGAAAGCAACGCAAATTTGCACAACAGTATTAATGGAGATGTCGAATGCGACAGAATATTTGTTGACACTGGATTTAAAGACGTATTGCAAGACGAAGCAAGCGACTGTAATACGATACATCCAACGATTTATTCAGAGCACTTTTGTAATGCCAACCACTTTTGTTTTGCAACCTCCCAAAGGCCTGCTCAAATGCCTCCTTTTTACTCATTACCTGACGACATAAACATTATGGGTTTGAACGGCAAACTGATATGAAATTGACCCATCCAACACACGCACACGCATACCAAAACTTTTATTTATGCCCACGATGTAGGTCTAAACTGCAAGTTTATCTATGTAAACTTTAAGATTTTGCTTAAATTAAAATTAAACAAACAATTATGACTGGATGCGTTATTTCCTTTGCATCAGGAAAATAGATGAGGGAACAGTCCCAATATCAATATCGGGATGTTCACCATTTTTATTATTATTATATATTTATGATCTACCGATGAGCAGGGTCGCATGGATTATATTCTGCTGATCTTGTGCAACGACCACGTGTATTCAGACGGATGAGTGTGTTGGATGTTTAATCAAAAACCACGATATCTTAAATTAAATATGAAAACAGTTGGTTATGTACAAAATCTTAAACCCGTCTTACTTATAGTTTACATAATGCAAAAAAAAACCTTCAGTGGCTCGCAAGCCAACTTTCAAAAAGTCAATCGAATGCGTATAGCAGGAAAACTCGGCAGCTTTTGACCAAATTTTCTTATCCAAGAACAAGTTTGTTAAAGTACGTACACTCTACTATCCAAACGCTTTGTCACTACTTGAAATTTACTAGTAAAATTTTCTGTAAGTTATGGTTTTTTGAAATATGTTCCGTCAAAGTATCATGCTATACGTACTAATACGGAAAAGTATAAAAATCATGTGGGTAACATAATGATCAAACTAGAATGGCGAATACTTTTGACAGGGTACAATTAAGTGAATATGTCAACTGTCGTTACGTTACTTGATCCAATAAAAAATTCGGTCAAGTTTACAAAAATTACTTCCAATGCGGTTTTATTTATAGAAATTTAATATGGAGAACGAAAAGTCGATTGTATAATGTTTTTCATTTGACTTTTGGAGGTTTTGAATAAAAAGGTGGCGTTTTTGGTGCTGATAACCTCTTTCATAGAATTAACGAAGACACATTGTTATTTACAGAAGAGAAGGTATTAAATAATACAACGATAAGGGTAAATTTTCTATTGACTGACTGTGACTCGTTAATCAATCAGCGTGTAGTTTTTCTTCATATTACAGAACGGGAATGATTGTCTGGGAAAGTGTAGTATAATAGTAATAATAAGTTTTTATATACGATTTGCTCGCTTATGAAATAAAACTTTGGTTTGTTAACAATTTTCCTGACTGGTTGCTATAATAATCCCTGCTTCGACAAACAGCATTCATTGCATTGCATTGCAATAGTAATGTTTGTCAAACATTTCATATGACGGTAATCACAAGCTGTATTATATAGAGGACGATAAAATGATGTGTGCAATATGACTAATTTTCATGCTAACCAAATATAAGCGTCGGTTATCTTTTTTCGGATCTCTTAACATTGTAAAAATTTCCTGATTTAGTCTCTTCTATAAGGGTAACCTTTGTTACGCAACTTCCCCCTCCTCCATACCAACATCTGAAAAATTCGCTCAGCAAAGGATGCTTGGACAGAAATGACAGTCTGGATAGCTCATGTTTAGCTTTCAAAAAGTATGCGAAAAGTGCGGCTGTTACATGTGATGGAAATATTAATAGTAGAAAGGATGACGTGTTAGACTTGCCGTCATTCCATGTGAAGACAAATTTAATCGATATCAAGTTTTCAATGTCCTGCCATTTTAACAAAAGCCAAATGGTTATCTGTAAGGGCGATGCTATCACATGCCGTCCTTGACCTTCGGATCATCCGCACGTTTTATAAATGCTGGTAACACAATAAGTAGCGTAGATATTGTACGAAGAGTAGATATAACATCAAAGAATGTACACGCTGCAATTTGAATGAACATGGTGAGAGTCAGTCTAGACTGATCTGGTATAGCTTTAAATAATTGTAGCTTAGCCATTGTTTTCGATATTACGAACTCTTAAATAGAACTCATGTTACACACGTGATTATCTATTGAATTAAATGATAAAGATCAGGTGTATGCATACGAATGTCTATTTTTGACATAAAGCACCATTTCACTCCATACAATTGTAACCATTAATCATGAGGCTACAATCTAAAACGAAGCATTTGCATTGTCTACTCCTATAGGCTTATTATATGCTTGAGTATCAATCGACAGCTAAATTTTGACACCACTTTGTAACTGCCTATTTGGGATAAACTTCAATTTCTACGGAGCACCTGTTTGGTGTAGACCGAAATTCTCATTTTAGCACAGACAAAAAGAGATAAAATTCGCACATTCAAAGCTTTGTGATTTGAAATAACGTTGATACGTATAAAACGAAGAACGAGTTTGCTCACAAAAGTGAGAACGTTTTTATCGATACAGGGGGATGGGGAGGGAGGGGGAGGCTCACCTTTAAACCGCATTAATACAGAACGTAATAAATATTTTCGCACGCTTTCATGTGGCGATAAGATCATCCTGCATTGTACAAAGAATCGAAACAACGAACCATTTTCAAGATCGTGGAGATGATGATTATCATTATCGTTTCTCTACGCCAGTAGTATAGGGTCGATGTAACGCGAATAAGTTCAGGTTTCTGGCATATTGTGCAAAATTTTACGTCATTAATTCTGTGACTTAAAGGGTATCTTCGGTGTGACCAAATGAGAAGTAAAGACAGCGTCTGCTAGAATATTCTGCCTTACATGGCTAGAATCGAGCCATTCCCCTCGTTTCTCGACGCCATATGGGGATATTTTATCAGTGGTCGATCGCATGCTGTCGTAATAATCATCGCATATTTATTTTGCCAGTTTCTTTTTAATCATTTTCTCTATCCTGACTACTAGGATCTATCCATACAACAAACATCACAATTTTCCCTTACATACATGCAATGCACCATGTTCGATGTTCTTTTCTAATCAAATCAAATAAACAGTCGATTATGTATTGATATCAAGCTTGTTAGTTTATTCAAATAAGAGATAAATAAAATTCCATATGTTTTATTAATTGATCGGGATACTTTTTTGGCCAAAAGATGGGCACAAAACCGTGCTATCCAAATAGGATAAAACAACAGTTAATTTCCGATCGATCGGTCACTCGTATCCTATTGGGCTTTATTTAGCTAGTATGTATATTCACATAAATATAAATATGCATGTATTTGACCCATAACCATTAGTCCAGTGCGCAACAGTGACAATGTCCGGCCATTATGTTCCAATTAAACCAATCACAGCTCTGCCCAATCTGGATTCATTTACCACTCGTACCTGCTCAACAGAGTCTACGTTCTACCAAACATCGCTTACGATACATGAGCGCACACTTCTTCTCCAACCACCTTACCAACTCACATGTTCTATTGATGAGCTTCTCAAACCGGCACGTAGAAAACGCTCCAATCCTCCTCGTTCGCCAAACCCATGGATTCAAAAGACGTTATTTACAAATTTGTTAAAGGTTGGCTTTATTAAAAGTTATACGCGGGGAGTTCAAAAA